AATGGGATGATGTGGAGTTCAATAATCCCGACCTTGTGATTAACTCATAGAACACCGATTTGGGGGGATTTTTTTTATGCTTTTAGCGTGCCAATAGCACTACGGCAATTACCCATGCCTAAAAAATGTATTTTATTCGGAGTATTCCCGTCCATTCTAGGGCTCGGCTGTCCAACCTAAAGGAAATCTCTACTAGAACAAGACTACCGGTCAAATGCCGAAGGCCAAGGTCTTCACCGATCTCGCTCGAGTATACCATCTACCCTTGTTTTAATAATTCGGCCGAGTCACATCTAGGATTCTAGAAAATAACATAATCAGCCAAGCTCATTATTAAAATTATTCATAGCCTTTGGAGTTAGTAGAAATACTTCCAGTACTGACACTTTGTTAAATCAAGAAATTATGTAGGTAATATATGTGAGTTCTATCCAAAAGCAACTGTGTACAATAACAAGACATGAAACCGCAGAACCCCCGTATCAGATAAGCAATATACATTTCCATGCCCCGACGCCAAAATCGTGGATATTATATGGATCATGTGACCGTCAAGACCTTGGAGTTGAAGCGCCCCAATCCCAATGGGATTTAAAACGCCTTCCTGACCCGGGAGGACCCAAATATCGATCAATGACGGTGTTTGATCGTATACCTGGATCCATTCCAAATTCATATATGCAGTTTATCGTAAGTATCGAGCGAAAGGGGCTCGGGCTTCGTGATGGAGTATCGAGTGAAGCCGATCGGGTTTCCGATTCAGTGACCTCATGAAACGATAGGACAGACACAAGAGCCAATATGGATTATGTCCACTGGCTAGGCACCCCGGTGCAGCCAGGAAGATAGAGGGTTGAAGACATTGAGCCGAGTTGAAGCGAGGGCTGTACATTAGGGCGACTAATATTGTTCAATAACCGCAAACACAGCAATCGTTTATCGAGGTGCATTCCAATCTTGCATCTTGACATTCATGCCACCAGGTGAATGCTCAGGAATTGGCTGTTGAAGGACAGTAGATCGAACAATGGACGGCGACGGTTGTGGGGGTCCCGTTCCAGAACGTCGCCTCCTCTCTCTTTCCAGCGCACCAGGCAGCTCCGTGTTGTTCGAACGGCGGAACTTGTGGTTGATGCCGCTGAGCCAGTTGCCGTCCTCCTCTTCGCCCAGCCAATAGCTGTGGCCGATGCCAACCATTATGCGACCGAGTTTGCCTTGCCAGCCCTGACCTTCGGGACTGTAGGGGGAGAAAGGCTCCCGATCGATATCGGCAACGCTGGCGACTGAGACGTTGCGGCTGTGGGTGGGGAGTTGGGTGTGCCGGGGAATCGCAACCCAGATACGGAGAGCCTGGCGTGCAAAAGCGAGCATCACCAGAACAAAGTAGACGCGAATGACCCACAGAAGGGAGATGAAGATAATGCTCGGAATACTCTCGGGCTGGAGGACGGCACTGCTGAGATCTTCGGCGGTACGCGGGGGGTGAGCGACGAAGTTATTTCCGTCTTTTGTGTTCTGGATTTCGACGTAAGCCGCATCGTACTTGGGGTTGGTGAAGCCAGCGGTCTGGGCGATCGTGTCGCCCCCTGGACCTGCGGCTTTGCCACTGTCGTAATGTTGCGATACCATTAAGAACCAAGTCACACCGAAGGCGGCAGTGTATGCGGCGTTAATCAGGCTGTCGAAGACATAGAGGTAGGTGAGGGCGAGACATTGTAGAGGCGACTGTTTGCGAATGTGTGGGAATAGGATTGCGGCGAGTGCAAGGGCGACGAGGGACCAAAGGTACATTGACAGTTGTACGGGGGACAGGTGGTAGCCGGTCAAGAGGGCCAGCAGGCCATAGAGGCCACTGATTTTATTCAACAGCAGTGAAAGGGTGATCAATGAAGCACCAGTCTCTAAGCTCATCACATAGAGAAAGGACTTTGAAAGTCAGATTAAGTTAGCTCCGGCAATGGATAAGATTTGACCTCAACTCACCTCTGGCCGCGGAATGCGGAGAAAACGGGAAGCGAGCCCCATGAGTGTGTTTTATGGCCTCTGGCCAAGAATGTGCGTTACCGAGATGAAAATAGCGATGGAAATGTGGTTGGGTATATATACGGGCAAAGCAAGGGAAGAGGAAAAAGGCTGGGTGTATGGCACTGCAGATGACCCAGGGGCGCTATTTCCCGGGCGATCCGCCCGCAGATCAATTTCCTGATTCCTTCTCGGATGCATTAATTTTTACTTCACTTGTTCCGGTTTCATGAGCTCATATTTTACTTATATTTGTAAATTTATATAGATTGTATCTGGTCTGATCAACAACTATCCATGTGGTCGTGAAGGTTCCTAGCAGAAAACCCAATATTCATGCCCAGGTGGCGTGGCCCCCTTGCTTTGCTAACGTTTTATGAATTTATGAAATATGGATGCCTGAACTCTATTATTACTGCCTTGTAGCCTTGTGGTTAAGGCATCAATATTCTGAATCAAGCATAAGTCGGCTATATGCTGTCTACATATACTATGTCAGTCCTTTTGAAATGCTTATATAAAGGAATAAATGAGATGAATACTTCTTGCTGAGAGGTTATACTCCGACTGAAAATCCACGCAATATACCGAAACCCTTTGTATAATCTCAAATCGGTTTCATGGGATCTGTATACCTCGGGAAATACCTAGCTCACTTTTGGAAGAGGGGAAGTAAGTAAATGACCGACGTACCCTATCCGCATTTGCCCCGCATATGCTTAGAGGTAGTACGTATAATTGGCTTCAGGTCATTTTATTCCTCTGTCATATAACATCTCTCTTGAGAATCTGCGCAATGACTATCTCATCGACCCAAGAAACCAGAACTGATCGATTGGTCAAATGGGCCGCCGACCTGAAGTACAACGACATTCCTGATGATGTGATCCAACGCACCAAGGATTTCTTCTTAGACACGCTGGGCTGTGCCATAGCTGGTCGTAGCCACCCCGCTGTTTCTGCAATGGTGCGCTTTGCGACTCAAATGGGACCCTCGAGTGGGAAGAGCGAACTGATTGATGGCTCTCAAACCCTCACCACTAGTCCGGCATTTGCTAGTCTGATCAATGCTGCTGCATCTCATGTGGTCGAGCAAGATGATCTGCACAATCGAAGCATCATGCATCCAGTGAGTCTTGCGTGTGTTCTCATTGCGCTCGTTGCTCCTCGAAGCCCACTATCAATGCATCATATGTCGACCAACACAATGCTAATTTGACTATAGGCGACTGTAATCTTCCCAGCTGCTCTTGCAGTATCCCAAGATATTGGGGCAAGTGGAGAAGATTTCATCACTGCTTGCGTGGTTGGCTACGAAGTTGGTTGCCGTGTTGGTGAGTATCTGGGAAAGAGCCATTACGAGGTAAGCTCCATTAGGTTACCATAAGCATCACCATACCAGGGGTTCTAAGCCTAGCCAGCTAGCTTTCAGTTATTAACTTGTACTGTAGAAATTCCATACCACCGCGACAGGTGGAGTCATTGGAGTTGCAGCAGCTGTAGCCCACCTTCTGAAGCTTGATGCGACCCAAACATCATCAGCAGTCGGGACAGCTGGAACCCAAGCCGCAGGATTATGGCAATTCTTGATGGATGCAACCCACTCAAAACAAGTACACACAGCAAAGGCCTGTTTTGACGGTATATTCGCTGCCTATTCTGCTCGTGATGGCCTTCTAGGCCCACGGGATATCTTGGAAGGACCGCGTGCAATGGGGGCTGCTCTCGTACCCGGCGAAACAAACCCAGAAGCAATTGACCAGAACTTGGGTTCGGATTTTGCCGTTGTTCGTTCGAGCTTCAAATGGCACGCATCTTGTCGACACACGCATCCTAGCGTCGACGCACTGTTGAACCTGATGGCCAAGAATAAGGTTACTTTTGATGATATCGACTCTGTCCTTGTTCCCACATATCAGGCTGCCATTAACGTACTTAGTCTAAGTGGGAATGGCGACACGGTTCATCAGAGCAAGTTCTCAATGGGCTTTGTATTAGCCATTGCGGCGAAGAAAGGCCAGGCTATGATAACCGACTTTACTGAAGCTGATCTGAAGGATGCTTCTCTGCGTGAATTCCAGAATCGAGTGAAGATGGAATACAATGCGGAGATTGATTCTCAGTTCCCAGAAAAATGGCAAGGGACTGTTATTGTTACGTGCAAGTCCGGAAAGACTTTCACGGAATCAGTCACATTTGCAAAGGGAGACCCGGAGCTTCCGTTGACAAGGTATGCTTATTATATTTTTAGGAGACGATTGAATTATGTTCTGACAGCATCGCTAGGTCTGAAATCGAGGCAAAAACTCACGCGCTTGCCAGATATGGCGGAATTACAGATACGAGCAAGGTCGACACCTTAATCAAGAGAGCGTGGAATTTGGAGCATGAGACGGATGTTAGGGGGTTTGTCTTCTAAGACATGCCTATCAAGTCATCAGATGTATAAAAAATGCTGTGAACATATTGGAAGCCTATTGACACATGTGACCGACGAAGTAAATTATGATTACTTATACCACAACAGCCCATTCGTCTTTTTCTAAGTATTTTAACATATGGTTATAATAGTATTGATTTCATGTTTCATTGGCGCCGACTATGCGGTGCGTTACCCAGAAGGGAAATGCCATATTATACAGCTTCATCAATTAAAGCATATCAGGCATATAAGACATGTTAGCCCATGCTGCCAAGAGTGGCAATCAGAAGACCTCCAAAGGAAGTCAAGCAAAGTAACTTCAACTGCCACAGAAAAAAAAAAGTATGATGCTGGTTAAACGGAAATCAAAACACCTTGTCTCCTCCCAAGAGCTCAGAAAATAAACTGGACACGACCGCATTCGGCACTGAAATATCTAGACACGCGCTATCGACTCGAGGAGCAAGCAAAGAAAGTAGAAACATGTACATCTTCAAAAATTGTAGGATATCATGGACAGCCTCGATTGTAACAATCGAGATAGGGCACTTAAGGACCGGGGAATCTTAACAGGCACAGCCGTCGTTGCTGGTCGTCTCCTTGGGATTGATGTTGACGTCAATCACTAAGAGAGAGGTCATGGTCAGTATGAGGAGTCAGTGGATAAATCACGAGAATGAACATACTTGTGCTTTCGCCTTGTTTGGCCTCGCCTTCCATTCCAGGAAGAGCCTGAGCGATTCTTCGGAAAAGCTGCTTCACATTATGCCCGACCTTTGCGCTGGTCTCGATAAACATCAATCCGTTCTTCTTTGCCTCTTCCTCGCCCTGTGCGGTGGTAACTTCGCGCTTATCGTTCAAATCGGTCTTGTTGCCCACGAGCACAATAATGACATCGTTCCCACGTTCTCCCCGCACATCATCAATCCATTTTCGCGTGTTTTGGAACGATTTAGCATTCGAAATATCGTAGACAACCACGGCAACGCTCGAGTCTCGGATGTAGGAAGGAATCAGGGAACGGAAGCGCTCCTGGCCGGCGGTATCCCAAAGCTGAAGACGGACAGTGCGATCTTCAAGGTACATAGTCTAAATACGATCATTAGCCCGGAATTTTGGGAATAGACAGCTTCCCAGGGCAATGCCCAATGGGTTGGAACCCTTGTGCGGGGTACAATGTGGCGTACCTTGGACAAAAAGTCGATGCCAATAGTGGCTTGGTATGTGTTGTCGAACGAGTCGTACATGAACCGAGTGATCAATGATGTTTTGCCGACTGTAGTAGCGTTAGATATCTTATGCTAGCCCCTCTCATTGACTAGAGCGCATGTAGAGGTATGAAGTGATGAGATGCTTACCACTTTGTTCGCCGAGGAATACCAGCCTACGCATCTCCATTAGCAATGCAATCCTAATTCCACACTGTGCAGTCCCAGGTCTTACTTGAACTTCTTCAAGGGGTTCGAATACGACCCAACTCCGGAGGCAGACGCCATTGTCACGGAGATGTTGATGCGGGTGAAAGTCAGGGGTAATAAAGCGGCGCGAAAGGAGGTCAGGGATTCGCGGCTGAGTGAAAGACACAAGAACAAGGCTAATGAGAATATAGAATGTTAAGACAAGCGTCTTCTCTTGAAAGAACAGTAAAAAGCAGGGGAAAACAGGTGGTCCAATACGTCCGGGGAAGCACCACGCGAGGCCACCGCCCAAACGGAGCAGTTAATCCGCTCCGGCCACCGAGTCCACCATCACCCGCTTCCATCCTAGAGCTTCAGCTACCTTATCGGCTGCGTTTTCTACGTCTGCGATCATCCTGACCTTTTCATTTATTCGTCCTCAGGCTTATAGAGGTCGCCATGGCTTACCTCTATCCGGCCGGTGTCTTCACCACCGCTCTCATCGTGGTGGGATTGTGTACGTTCCAATGGATCCGACATGCGATCTGGCAGCTAATGAGAGGTCTGGAATCTAGATATGCTCTTCCACGGAGAGGGAGAAGCGTTCAATGTACGGAACTTCACCAAAAACAAGCGATTTGCTCAAAAATTTACTAACCTGACACGTATTAGGTCGGCCGTTTCCTTGAGGAGGTTTCTCCTTATGCTTGGGCAAATATCGGAATCGCTTCGTGTATCGGCTTCTCAGTTATCGGCGCAGCATGGTAAGCCGATCCCCGTTGACATTATCCGGCATCGCGATATTGACCGCATACTTAGGGGTATCTTCCTTACCGGCTCATCGATTGTTGGTGGTGGTGTCCGGGCACCCCGTATTCGCACCAAGAACTTGATCTCCATTATTTTCTGTGAAGTCGTCGCTATCTACGGTGTCATCATGGCCATTGTCTTCTCCTCCAAGCTCAGCCAGGTAGCCGAAGGCGCAATCCACACCTCCAGCAACTACTACACTGGATACGCGGTCTTCTGGGGAGGAATCACAGTCGGCGTCTGCAATCTCATTTGCGGTATCTCCGTTGGTATCAATGGAAGTGGTGCTGCTCTGGCCGATGCCGCCGATCCCAGCCTGTAGGTGATCCCCGTGATATTATTTGATAAGATACTTAGGGCTGTCACTTACCTTGTTTTCTTTTTTCTAGATTCGTCAAGATTCTTGTCGTCGAGATTTTCAGCTCAGTCCTGGGTCTTTTCGGTTTGATTGTCGGCCTTCTCGTGGCTCAAAAGGCAGCGGTGTTGGAGGCGGCCTGAAATTGAGCCTTCCTTTGAGAGAGAAGAGCTTCAAATTTGGGTGGCAAACAGATAATCGGGGACTCGAATCACATGTCCCAGGCGATCCGCTTCGCCTCTCGTTCTCATTTTCATAGTTCATGTTCATGTTTCGATATACACCGCATTGGGGCGTCTGGGGTCGACCACGTGGAGCCATTTTGGTTTTGCTGAATTGCATCAATGGTCTGGAGATCATATGTATCAGATTTGAGGCCGCGTAAGCTAGTTCTAGCTTGTTACACTAGGGATGTGAACGAATATTTGTAAAAATCGCTATCAGATGAAATCACTTGTACCTATATTTACATCTAGGCACTGTAGTCTATAGCCTAGATTTGGGCCAATCCTATTGAAGTATACCAGCCTGTTCAAATTGATTAAAACCCAATCTCATGGGTTACACTCAACCCTGGTTGTTCGAGGCTGTGCCTAGGTACTTTGTACAAGCACATCGGAATAATTCGTATCAACTTATAAGAGAACTCGAAAATGATTGGCACAAAGGAAAAGCAGCATTGGCACTAATTTCACCCAATTGCACTAAATACACTAACCACACTAATTTCATGTCGGGGTTTGGTAGTCCGATGTTCCCCAAACAAAATTCTCTCCACATCCACATCCACTTCCCCAGACTCCCACGCACATCATGACCAATCTTAAAGTAGCAATTCTAATTGTCTCGGACACTGCCTCGAAAGACCCCACTTCTGACAAGGTCGTTGATGCACTTACGCCTATCTTGTCCGCAGAGGGCAAGTGGGAACCCCCGCATTCAGGATCGTCCCGGACGACGTATTCCAGATCCAACAATCCATATACGACTGGGCCGATAGCCCTAATTGGTATAACCTCATTCTACTTAGTGGAGGAACAGGATTTTCCATCAAGGATAACACTCCAGAAGTTTGTAATTCTGATCTTGACCGTTGCCTTACGCTGACATCACTAGGCCGTATCCCCCTAATCCAACGCCATGCGCCGGGACTAATGTAAGTTGGATACCCTCGGCGCCGCATTGACGCTAGTGGCCTTGGAAGCTAACCAAGACTTCAAGACACGGCATGATTGCTGCCTCCTTGAAAGTAACCCCCTGTGAGCATGACATCAGGGGCGCTGTTGGCGCTGCCATGGCGCTTTCCTTGAATTATATTTACCTTGGCTAATCCCCCGCGCAGTTGCTATGATGGCCAGACCAGTTGCTGGTGTTCGTAATAAGACTTTGATTATTACTTTACCCGGTTCACCCAAAGGAGCCATGGAGAACCTCGACGCCGTTGTTAAGCTTCTTCCACATGCCTGTCTACAGTCTGCTGGGGCTAATTCACGGGACCTACATGCTGGAGGCGTGAAGAAGCTCGAATCAGAGGCTGGTGTTGATGATCAACATAATCATCATCACCACCACCACCACCATCATGACCATGGACATGGGCACAAAGCCCCAAAGGCGCACACATCGCCGTCGGAGAGGCCACAGTCCAATGACCCTAGTGCAGGCCCTAACCGGCGCTATCGCTCCTCCCCCTACCCGATGCTCTCTGTAGATGAAGCACTTCGGCGAATCAATGAGCACACTCCCGACCCAGAAGTCGTTGAGGTCCCAGTGACGACATCCTTGATTGGCTCGGTGATCGCCGAAGACGTCTACGCCGCAGAAGCCGTGCCAGCGTATCGAGCTAGTATCGTCGATGGCTACGCTGTCATCGCACCAAACTCTAGCACCGCCGGCCAGTCCACGAAAGGGATCTTCCCCGTAGCATCCGTTACCCATGCCAATGTCGGCGGGAACCTAGAGCCATTGCAACCGGGGACCATCGCTAGAATTACCACTGGCGCTCCCCTCCCCCAAACGCGAATGCCGTAGTCATGGTCGAGGATACGAACCTGGACTCGTGCACACCTGACGGCAAGGAAGAAGCGACAGTCGAAATCCTCGCTGAGGATATCGAGCCCGGCGAGAATGTGCGCGAGCCTGGCAGCGATGTTATGCTAGGCTCCAAAATCGTCGCTCGCGGGGACCTAATCTCTCCCGTCGGCGGAGAGATTGGCTTACTGGCATCAACCGGCACCAGGACTGTCAAGGTCTTCCGGAAACCACGCGTAGGCGTTCTGAGCACCGGCGACGAGCTCGTCGAGCACAATGACCCGCAAACTCTCACAGGCGGCCAAATCCGCGACTCCAACCGCCCATCTCTTATCTCATGCCTTAACTCATGGGGTTTCGAAACCGTTGATCTCGGTATCGCCCGCGACACACCTGCCAGCGAGCTCGAGCATGCCCTCCGCGACTCCCTCCGCGGTGTAGGCCGAGCCTCCGCCAGTGTCGACGTGATCATCACAACCGGCGGTGTCTCGATGGGCGAGTTAGACCTCCTCAAGCCTACAATCGAACGCTCCCTTGGCGGCACAATCCACTTCGGCCGCGTTGCCATGAAACCGGGCAAACCAACCACCTTCGCAACCGTTCCTTTCAAACCAACTGGCGATGCCACATCCTCCCAACAGGAGCGCCAATCAAAACTCATCTTCTCGCTCCCCGGTAACCCGGCCTCCGCCCTCGTCACCCTCAACCTGTTCGTTCTCCCCTCGCTGCACAAGCTCACCGGCCTGGGCCACAGCTCCCAGGCACTCAGCTCTAAGCCTTGGCTCGCGCCGCAGCTTGGTCTCCCGCGTGTCGCTGTCGTCTTGACGCACCATTTCCCGCTTGATCCCAAACGCACGGAGTACCACCGTGCCGTGGTTACGGCATCGCGCTCGGATGGTCGGTTATACGCGACGAGCACGGGGGTGGAGGGTGCAGGCCAACGATCTTCAAAGGTCGGCAGTTTGGCCAAAGCGAATGCTTTGGTGGTGCTGCGGGCTGGACGGGGCGTTGGCATTAAGGGTGAGATTGTGGAGGCTTTGTTGATGGGGGATGTTCATGGCTCGGACACTCGGGTCATTTGCTAGAGATGTGATACGATATATGATTTATGCCCAGATGGAGACTGAATCTCCTGAAAACTGCTCGTGTTTTGGTTTCTTATCTGTCTGTCTCGGAGCTTTGTATATTTCTTGCCTTCTGTCTTGTCTTCACATTTTTTCCATTCTCTTTTTGAACAGACGATATACGGTCAACATCTGCAAGTTTCCATATTTGATGAAAATACAAATACATTGTGATTTTTACATGGAACGAGTCTGGAAGTTGTACGCTTGTATGTGAATATTACAATGACATAAAGTACATATCCCCAGAGAACAAAACCAACGTCAAACTATGGTAAAGTACATAGATGGCCCGAAAATTGAATCACCCCTTTGAATACTTCCATCCCTTCTTCTTCTCAGCCCGAAAAGCAAGCAGTGTCCCTTCTCTTCCCTGCTTTCTCGCAATCTCCACAACCAAGAACCGCACAAAATCACCCAATGTCCAGTAACTGCTATGCGCACTCAGCATGTTGAGGTACTGGATATTCAACGGGCCGCCACCACCCGAGAGATAATAATCAATTTGACCGTTATCGTTAAGCAGAAGCATGCGTTTTTCAGCGATCTCTTCACGAGTGAAGTCGTGGGTCTCGAGCTCGACATTAGATGGGAGCTTGGAGATTGCTGCGGGGCGGGTAGGGGCTGTGGAGGGCATTAATGTTGACGGGGTTGAACTCCATCGAAAGACACTTCCGAAGGATTGCCAGAAGGTGGAGGTGGAGCTGGGGATAGAGCCCATTTTGAGGGAGTTGGAGAGGTCTGAGTCTACTGTTGCATTGACTCGGTACGCGATTGCTGGAAATGGTCGTTAGTAGTTAAGGCAAAGAGGATGTGAAACTCGGATGGGAAGGATATGGAATCCACTTACGGTCAGTTGTGTGCATGATATTGTAGAGATTATCTACGGCGAGACAGCCATATTGACCCGCCTCACCAGCAACGCCACGAAGTAAATCGTCACCTTCACTGCCTGGCTTGTCTCTGCCTTTTCGGGGAAGAAGACTAGCTGCGAGGATGTTAGATACAAGGCGGAATGATGTAAATTTCAGACGTACCCTTATTAAGAAGCAGAAAGAAGCCGACTGGGCTTCCACAGAGGAAGAGATGTCTAGTATCAAACTCGAAAATGTCGCTATGTAAAGCCGTATTGGAAAAGTCGAACCGAGGAACATGCGTTGGTTGATTGCTGAGAATGTCTACGGCCATCACGCTTCCGAGCGAATGAGCAATGAGATGCACACGGCCATGGTCTTGGAACCCTGCATTGTTTTTACACCAGAGGCGATACACTCGGTTCGCTTCTCTGATCACCGCCTTGACCATCTTCGGTTTGTGGTGTGACAGATAGTAAGGAATGTCAAGCATCACATCGCTGATCAGGGACCGGATAGCAGGAAGAGTCTGGGGTGTGATATCTGCAAGAGAAAAATTGTTGCTAGCTGGGTCCTCGATACCCGTTTCAACATCGGGGTCATCCAACGACAAGTTTGTGCGCCAATTCACAGGGAGAACCATGATTCCCCCATGATCCTGGCGTACATGTGGCCAGACAGGTTCGTTATTGAGCTCCATATTCACCTCTCGCCGAAACGCATTGATAGCGTGAGTGAAATGGAAGCTTTCCATCCTCTCCGATAGCTTTTGCCCAATGCCATGGACAACGAGAACTAAGTCCGTTGGAGGTGGTCGCGATTCTTCCATCTTGCAGGCATAGCATATTTGTTCACCTCGTGCAGAAGGACTTTTCGACTGGGTTTTGCGGATGTAATGTCGCACATCGATAGGATTGGGCTTTGACGGGTGAAGTTGTTCCCATAATTTTCGACTAAAGCCGCGAATCACAGGTATGCCTATCTGACGTCCTTTCCTTATTGCATTAAGAGGTCGTCTTCCCCTCGACGCCGAGGGAAGTAAGCTGGGCCGAAGCACTTGGGCATTTGTTGCATCGACGTAGATGGCACTTGATGTGAGATATGACTTGATACTTTCAGACTGGACAGAGGTGCCGCCAGCAGCTCGATTTTTGTCGAATATCAAGGGATCCTCCGCCTCATCTAGAGGCGAATCACTACTCTGTGGCGCTTGTGCAGTTGTAGGCTGACTGTCTTGTTTTGTCCACAGCGGGTGAACAATTTTCAACTCTGCGTCTGCCCCGTTTTCCACACAACTATTCAGTTCATCTTGCCAAGTATCGCTCCATGGCTTCAAGTATACATAGCCTTCTTCCAATTTATTCGCAAGTTCAGTCTCAACAGGCAGCATAGTATTCTTGTAGAACCAAGTGGCTCGAACTACACTTGATATGTCCTGAAGAGGCCTCCAGTAGATAGGTTTCATCTATAAAAGGCGTTATTATAACCCAGAGCCGAGTAGAGAGATTGTACTGACCTTGAGATTCGGTAGCTCGACCAGATGAAGCCGTGAGACACCGACTGGAATCTTTGTCTGTGTGTTCGGCTCCTCTGTCCTCTCCCTTTGCGAGTCCTGAGTCAATTGGTCTAGGCTCACAGTCGTTCTGAGTCCCGAAGGTTTCGGGGCATTTCGAGGAGCAGTACTAGTTCGAAGTTCCGCCTGCCATTCGCCTCCTTCTCTAGACGAAGATGACTCAAATGAGCGACCAAGCGGCGTCTGAGGCTGAGATATCGGCGCCCGTATAAAAGGAGAGCCACTCATGCTTGCATCGTGAGAGCGATCAGCTCGTAGACTTCCAGTCTCCTCGTCGCCTTCGCCCACGTTCTCGGCCTCCAAAGGAGAACTGCTTCTTCTTTTTGCTGCGCTCGACTCGTTGACTGAAGACGAGCGCGCTCTTTTCCGATCGAAGGCAATTCCTTTCGTGGTATCATGTTTAAACCCATCACCCAGTGGAGAGCCCACGCGATTTTCCTTGCCGAGTTCACGGGGTCGTATTCCAGCACTACCGGTAGCAAAAGCGATGTGACTCTTGTGACTGCGAGCGGGCAGGTCATCCGGGAAGGAAGGAGGGTTGCTCAGAGTGCTTCCTCTGCTCCCAGCCAAGGAGTGATCCTCTTGGTTGGCTGCCTTACGGCGATCGACATTTGAGACCGATTCATGACCAGGCACAGCTATCCCAGGAGGACCTGTCGATGTGTTTGGCCTGGATCTGAGTTTCTCAGCAAACTTGGTCTTCCTCGCTTCCCGTAGATCACGCCAAGCTTCCTCTAAGGCGATGTTATCCCTGGCCGAGAATGGTGTGGGAGGAAGTCTCTCATTCCCGGTCCCCTGTGGAGGCAGAGCAGCTAGTGGATCATCGATCGGCAATGATGAGATATAGAAGAACTGTGACCGGAGTTCTGGTGGTGATGGAAGCGATTGAAATCTAGTGAGGTCCTGCTCTTCATCCACAAGCAGGCAACTCGGACCGTAGGTGTGGATCGGGCCCGCCATTCGGATATTTGGACGGAGCCCCTGTGTTTGAGCTGGTACTGATCTCCACCCCTGATATGGAGGGCTAAACGCGGGATGTATCGACGGTCATTGGGGGCCGAACTTTTCTAGTCCACAATTTCTGTCGGAAACACCACGGTGATTACAGGTTCAAGAAGTTTGTCAAAGGTAGAGCGGTGACCTGGCACCCGTGATCCTATAAGCCGATGACGTCGCCTCACGTGTTTTGTGTCAGCCTTTGCTTTTTCACTTTGACATATAACTATGGAGGTTACAGTGTTGAAATTTAGAGATGTTCGAAAATTAGTTCAACATGATTGACAAACGCCAAGGAAGCACATTAGATGGCCTGGAATATCAGGCAACCAAGTTTGATGCCTGCAAATAATAATACATCCATGGATGTATAGGTAGCCTTGGGTAAGTCTCGAATACACCATTTCGAGTGGTCATTATGATGTTAGCTGAAGACATTCTAGTGTCTTACCATCCCATAACCTTCGAAAGATCACAATGGCTAGTGAGGATTTCTTCTTCGTTGGCTATTTTTGAGACTAAAGGGAATATAGCTACCTATTGCTTTGGAAATTACTTTTTTTAATTTAGGCTTGAAACATTGAATTAAGCTACGTAGTAGCAATATATGAGACTAGTAAACGATCTATTTAGTAGGTGTCAAGCTGGAAGAAAGCGTAGCGTATACTACCTGTGATCTTGCTGAATATTAGTAATTCGGGGGATATGCAGTCTAATTCTGGATTTTCTTCACAATATATTGCACCAGTCCAGAAATCCAGAAATTACGATTACTTCTGGCTAATTCACCAGCTTCCATCTGCAGCGCCAACCTTAATATACGGATGCACGGGTGGCGTCGCTAGGACGGTTTAGCAAAAAAATACTACATTAAATTTCCAATGCAACTTATACATTGCACCCGACCTCATAGGGGCAATCTACTAGGAAAAAGGATTCATATGGGATGAGTTGGATTTGGGTTATGCTAAATTATTCCACTCATCACTGGTAAAACACACGCGGAAAAAAGAAAACAGAAGAGCAAAAGCGAAAAACGAAAAACGAAAAACTGAAAGCGTAACTGGCAGAAAGCAAACTGATAACGGCCAAGTCAAGTCCTACTAGTAGAACAGAACTGCCGAGACAGAACAGCAAGAAAGCCAGACGAAAATTTGTGAAATCAAACATAGGTCAAGTGCAAATGAGCGAAATGGAAGTTAAGAGCGAGAGCTTCCAGAGTTCTGAGTGTCTCGGTGGTGCTGCATCACCTCGTGCTTCTTCAGTTCTCCACGAACGTGCGCACCAAGGACCATAATCAGCTCAATGTGGCATTCATCGGCGTTCAGAATCTCCAGGAGATCCAGGATATCGTGGATGTGCTTCTTGATAACCGAATCGGGGGCCACAAAGGTGCGGATAGTCATGTTCTTGCAGATCTTTTTCCAGTTGCGCAGAACAGTGTACGGCCGAAGACCGTTGCTCGCATTACCGAATTTGAGATGCTCACGGTTTGCGCTGATAAGCTTGTACTGGGTTGTTTGATCAAAGTGGAATTCAGGGACACCGGGCATGTTCTTCCGCTCCCATCTTCTTTTCACCTTGTTGAGAGAATAAACAGAGAGGTGGCCGTCATAATACTCTTTCATCAGGAATTCGTTGGCCACATGAGTGATCATGTTCTCAATCTCGGCGTACAAAATTGACTGCACTTCGGTGTTCAGAGTAATGGGGGCAGTGCTCTCGGTGACGATGCTGGGCTTGGATGAGTTGATCAGAGCTCGATTCTCATCCCAAATCTGTCAAAATAATTGTTAGTCACTATAATATTTTTCAAAAGCCGAGTCAGGAAGCACTTACCATTCCCTTGATACTGCCAATGGTTGAATGTCCCTTTTCGATGGCCCCCTTGAAAAACTTGAATCGCTTGTCGCGTTGCACCTCATTGTCTTCAAGGTATCCCTTCTTACCAAAGAGGTTCTTGGTAAATCGCTTGCGCTTGGTTCCACGAGAGCCCTCGGAGCCCTCGGAGCTGGAGACACCCGGGCTTTGACTAGCACGACTCAGAGTTGAATTGCTGGAGCTGTTGTTGACATTGGACTCATTGCTGACGAAGGAAACTGCGCGGCTATGTCCACTGTTGGTAGAATCAGACACGTGAACAGCTGTCTGATGCTGGGCAACGTTGCGGATTGGGAGAGTCATGGTGAAGGCAGGATTTTTATTTGTCACGTTCAATTGCTGTGGGACAAGAGACTGATCGACATTGTTCATATCTGTTGGTCTCAACCAATTAGGGTAGCTGGTTGGAGATGATATGTAATCCGAACGGAAAGTAACAGTCGTAAGACGGGGATCGTGAGGGATATTGTCAGATGGAGAAGTTCCAATTCGAGGCAAATCGGCATAGGAATATGCACGAAGATCACTGGGGTGATGTTCTGAAGACGAAGGAGCTTGAACAGGAGATGGAGGTGAATCCAGTAGAGGCGAGTCAGGAGTAGTATTTTCCCAATCAAACTGATGCCCATGGGCTACAGTGACGCCAGAGTCCATCTCGCCGGGCATTTCCGAAACCCGAACATAACATTCTTCGAGGGGAGGGGAAAGAGGAGAATTCAAAGGCAGCGACTCTTGCGGATGTATATCAGAAGCAGACCGTTCCTGCTCAAATTCAAGCCCAGAAGATGCAAGACTTTCTCGGTCAAACTCATCCTCAGACCAGTAGCAACATCCTTTAGGACAAGGAGATTGAGCGTGGGACGGGGACGGGGACCCCATAGGTGTTGTAGGTGTAAGTTTGCGAATGGTGCCGGGGCTCGCAAATGGAGGACTCTCGGCATTACGAATAACAAAGTCAGGCATCTGGGGATCCGAAGCAGATTTTTGACCCGCATGGAAGATATCTGTAGATGCCGAATTGGGGGAGAGCGAGACGGTAAGCAGAAGATGGACTTCCTGGAATGTGATTTTCATTTGCAAGGCGGCAGTTTTCCGTGTCCTGATTGATCAAGGCAATCAGTTCCTCGATGGTTGGGCGCTGCACTTTGGTGAATTGATTTTCTTGCTTGATTTCGGGCACTGGAGTAGCGCTGGCGGCTACTGCAACCTGAGCATCCGGAGTAAATCCGTTACCAGTGGGTGAAGCTTCGTACCACGAAGTTGGACTATGACCGTGGCGATGGGGACTGGAATGGGGTTGAGCATAAGGGGCCTCAGGCACAGGGGCACAACAAAGAGCAGCAAGAGCCAAGCGACGGTCAACAGAGGACTGATTGGTATAGGAGGCCTGGGCATTGTAGTGGTCGTCTGAAAAGGGTACAATGGGAGGCAGGGGTGGAATAGATGGAGTCTCGTCATCGTAGCCTTTCTGCGTGTATTCCTTGAGAAGCGAATTCGGTTTCATCTTTTTACTCGAGTACACAGGGCCCTCGACACCTGCCTTCTGGCCAGCTTCGATAGCAGGCTGAGAAGTTTCGCGTTGAGAAAATGGAGTTTCGGCCTGGTTGCCTTGCATCTCTGATCCGTTAAGCATGTAATGGATGCTCATCTTGTTGATAGCGCTCCCAGAAGCTTGGAAAACACCCTCCTGGCCAACTGCGGAGGCCAGCTGAGGAGCTTCCTGAGGAATTGGTGGCAGCGGCTTGGTAGATCTGTCGTCATATTAGATTTCATGTCCAGCAAGTTTAGGTAAGGATGGCTCGTACACATCATTCTTGTTCACAGCACTTCCATTGCGACGAGCTGCACCTCTTTCCGCAATACCACGAAGGTTTTTAGCCATGCTGGGGCCCCGGTCTGCGAAGGGACGTAGGCTCTTATTGCCAATCCTCTTTGCGGTGTGAGGAGCAACACGTGGGTGCTGTCGAAGCCATTGCTGGTGCTCATCTTCGTAGAGAATTCCTGGATCGTCCTCCCGGTCAATGGCGCTGAGAGTTGCCCAGGGACGGACTGGTGGATATTGAGACATTGTTGGGTTTACAATTTCAACTCGAGTTGCTGTTCAAAGTCGAATGTGCAATTGCAGAACGGTAAACGCCGAAGAATGAGAAACAGAAGCATGAACGATATCAAGAAGTATGGGAAGAAAGAAGAAAAGGGATTGGACGAAGAGTATAGATATACAGCGACGTCGTGAGAACTTAGGGCTACAATACATCTAGCTACAATGGCCATTGAAATTTTATTCATGAATGACCAATAAGGCATAGTAGCAAGATCGAGGCCATTGTTGAGGCCGAAAAGCTTATGCTAGGACCACATGGTCTGCAGCAATAGGTTTAGTCCAATAAGGTGGCTGGCAATTTGTCACGAACAATAGAGAACAAAGAAGGCAGAAACAAAGAGAATGAAAATAAATAATATTGGAACAATAGAAATACATGGGAACAAACAATGAATGAGCAAACAAAGAAAAAAAAGAATTGATATCCCTATTAAGGAGGTTGCTGATAGATCAACCAATCAAACGCCTCTTTACCATGCGAACATACCTAAATAGTACTAAATTGAGTGAAGTCAAGAAAGAGAAAATGATATAACAGCACATGCTTCATAACGGGGCTTGATATGGACTACTAGATATATCCTATGTTGTACATAGAAATGTCATTTGCACCGTTTAAAAAAGAATACTGCCTTTTTCTGTTGTCTATCTTTAAAGCTGACAAGGAGGAGGAATGACATCTGAGAAGATCGAAAAAAGGCACCATAAGGCTACATAAGCGGCCAGCTATTCTTGTATATTTAAACCCACTTACAAATCAAAAACATGGTATTGTTGATACTCTGAGAGCTCACGACTAGTGCTAACACATTCTATGTGTTATCCACCCACTACACTAATAGTAAGAATATTACAAAATCTTGTAAGACCTTCTTATTCTCCACATGTGCAAACCTGTTTGATATATCATTTAAAAGAGGTGTCAGGGTGAACATGATTTTAGTACTGATATTGTTATCTCCATTTAAGCATGTAGTTTATGGATATAGTTCGGAGCGGTACAACTTGTACCCGACCCAAAACTCTGTTGTTTCTGTTGCCTCAGGTGTCGATATTTCCATTCTACCGAAGATTCATAATAATGGCTACTATATACTATAAATGGTTCGTAAGGTTACCGTTGGAAAATCTGGCAAATTCAAACCAAGAAAATACAGATCATTCAAACTATCACGCTGATGATATTTTCATGGAATTGGGGAGTTGAACCCTCTGAGTACTGTTACTATGTATGAGCATGTACTCCGTAACAGTGTTTCCAATGTTGTTGTTTTTCTGAAAGAGTAGAACCGATCTATTTGCCATGGAATAGGCCGAGGAAACAACATCAGAGTAGATGTGAGGCCTCGTGGATATTTCAGCTAGAACATGGCATGGATTTTCGGGTTTTCTTCAGTGTAAGTACCAGGTTAAACTACCATGATGGTGCGGGACCTGGACCGGTGGATATGACGGCAGGAGTTCAGTCATCTCGGCAGAACGGAAGGGAATAAGGGAATAATTGAGGATGTAGCCAATAACATTAGGAAGAACCCGCTGGTCATTTCTAGATCTAGATGGATCGGGAATTTCCCAACGATGTACGGAATATGGAGATAGGCCCCAGGGGTGTCCAGAGAGATAGATCCCGGGCAGGGTTGCCGAGGCGATGTCACGTGCCCAGCAGTCCGCTTACCGAACTCGTTTCCGGGTGGAGCAGAGAAAAAGAGGAGCAACCCAGTCACAACCCAGTCAGCCACCAGCTCGGGATCAACGACGGTATTATGGACATTGTGTAAAGCAAGTCATGTCCCCACATAGCGCTTGTTTCTTCGATTCTGACAAATCGTACATGATTCCGTCTCTGGTGAATCTGATTGGCTACCCCAACCCTCGAACGGGTGCTCCCCACGATTCCGCCGACTCTGAATGCCGTGGATGTGCTCCGTTGCTTCAGTTGAACACCCAATCCATCCGCTTACCCCAGTTCCCAGACAGTATATAGGGGCAGCCATGGCCCTCGTTCATTTTCTTTCTGTCATCTTACAGGGAAATACTCCGATATACTCTGCTTTTATTTCAAATCATTTGCACAACTATTTACGTTGATCATATCTCCATTCGCCCTACAATTCATACCTATCCCCACCTTGATCACCACGTTTGCTTTTGGCCGCCAGCATGGTCCAAGAGAATTATGACATTGTCATTGTGGGCGCCGGCCCCGTCGGTCTGCTCTTGTCCCTGTGTATGTCACGATGGGGTTACAAGGTAAAGCACATCGATAACCGCCCAGTGCCGACCGCTACTGGTCGCGCCGACGGTATCCAGCCGCGATCTACCGAGATCCTGCGCAACCTTGGTTTGAAGCGCTCGATCATGGCTTACGAGCCTGCCAAGGTGTACGACGTTGCCTTCTGGGATCCCAAGGGTGATGGCTCTGGCATCGGCCGCACTGGCAGCTGGCCTAGTTGCCCCCGTTTCATTGACACCCGCTACCCTTTCACCACCCTGGTCCACCAGGGCAAGATCGAGCGTGTGTTCTTGGATGAAATTAAGAAGGCTGGCACAACCGTCGAGCGGCCATGGACCATCGTTGGCTTCAAGAACGATGGCGCAAACGCCGATTACCCTGTTGAGGTCAACTTGAAGTGCCTGGATACCAATGTCATTGAGAATGTACGCGCCAAGTATTTGTTCAGCGGCGAGGGTGCCCGCAGCTTCGTCCGTGAGCAGCTTGACATCAAGATTCACCACAAGGATCCTATTGCCTATGTTTGGGGTGTTATGGACGGTGTTGTGCGCACCAACTTCCCCGACATTGAGGTAAGCCCCAAAAAGAATCAATCTTACTTATTTCTCTAACACATTGATGCACAGACAAAATGTACCATTCACTCCGACGCTGGCTCAATTATGGTCATTCCCCGCGAGGACAACATGGTCCGCCTGTATGTGCAGATTGCCTCCTCCACAGACGCCGACTGGAACCCCCGAAAGTCCGCCACCGTCGAGGAGGTCCAGCAAACCGCGAAGAACATTCTGAAGCCATACTGGATTGAGTGGGACCGAGTTGAATGGTACTCTGTCTATCCCATCGGACAGGGTATTGCTGAAAAGTACACCCTTGACGAGCGGGTCTTCATGGGTGGCGATGCTTGCCACACTCACAGCGTCAGTATTCCCATTCGAAGTCCCTGTTCCACAAATATCGCTAACATTCCTACAGCCCAAGGCCGGCCAGGGAATGAACACTGCTTTCCATGACGCACTTAACATGGCCTGGAAGATCCACGCCGTGGAGAGTGGCTTTGCCAACCGTTCTATTCTTAGCACCTACGAGAGCGAGCGCAAGGATATCGCTGAGACTTTGTTGAACTTCGATTCCAAGTACGCAGCCTTGTTCTCCAAGCGCCGCCCTTCTGCTGGCGAGGTTGGTTCTGCCAGCCACGCCACCGTGGGTGCTGGTGGGGAGGAGGACGAATTTGTCAAGACCTTCAAGTCATCTTGCGAGTTCACCAGTGGATACGGAGTGGCCTACCAGCCCAACATTTTCACCTGGGACGCGAGCCACCCTGCCAAGTCCGCTCTGTTCCAGATTCCCGGCGTTCATCTGACTCCAGGTCGCGCTTTCACCCCGACCACCGTCACCCGTCTTGCGGATTCAAACTTTGTCGAGCTTGAGCAGGAAGTGCCCGCTAACGGTGCATTCCGCATCTTCATCTTCGCTGGCAACCAGGCCAAGACCAAGAAGGCCATTGCCGACCTTTGTGCAAACCTAGAGAAGGAGCGCTCGTTCCTTTCAGCGTACCGCCGGTCTGACATTGCCGATGTGTCATTCTTCGAGCGTCACAACCCTCACTCCAAGCTGTTCACCCTGTCTGTGATCTACGCAGGCTCCAAGAACACCATCGATGTGGACTCCATCCCCCAGGTCCTGCGCGACTACCACCACCACCTCTATGCCGATGATATCCCCGATGTGCGTGTTCCTCAGGCTCAATTTGCGGCCCACGAGAAGCTCGGCTTTGATGCTGAGAAGGGTGGTGTCGTCGTCACCCGCCCCGACAGCCACGTCGCTTGCACTGTGCAGCTGGTTGAGGGAAGTGGCACTGTTGACGCTCTCAATGAGTTTTTCAATGCCTTCTCAACGAAGCCGCTGGGCCAGGACTCTCAACAGAGCCGTCTGTGAGAAGGTTGACGTGTTTATGAGTCTGTATTTTACCTTCGAGATGTATATAGTGTATATAGCAGCGATGGCTTGAGCATAGCCGGCGTTTATTTTCAATTTCCATATAAATCAATTTTCAATTCAAACAACCTCTTCGCACTTTTCGTATTTTATAGTGATAAGCTCAATGTTTCAGAGTGGTCACATGCCAAGACTCGATCTACCTTAAGTATTTTCCATCTCCACCCCGCATCTGCAGAGAGGATCTTAACTTCAGCCATCACTCAATATCAAGTTCACCCATTTGACCTCAAAAGCCAAAAAATGCTCACTCTTTTGATCGAAGCTCAACTGGAGGGGTAAGTGCTCCTTAGGTGTTTGATTATTGAGCCTTTGATGCTACTTGCATCTCCCATTCCAATCCCAGGAACGCCGCGTGGGCAGATCTTTTCGGCCATTATCAAAGAGTCAATCAGCTGATATAACGATACAGTGTTACTGCCCTCCTGCCCACTGACACTGAGGAAAATCCCTACTTCTACACTTTCAAAGTGAAATGCACCTCCTGCCACGAGACACACCCTAACTGGGTCAGCTTCAACCGTTTCGTACGTGGATTACCTACATAATCCTCTCCCTTTTGTCACGATTGAATGGTATATTAACATGATTGATGTACAGGAGACGCACGAAATCCCCGGTAGCCGCGGCGAGGCTAATTTTGTGTGGAAGTGCCGACTGTGCACGGTAAGCAAGCAATTTTTTTTTTCCAATCTGATAGACTGAAAGAGTTTCTTTTTTCGCCTTTTTTGCGAGTTCCTTCTATTCCGCTTTGTTGACCCCAATCATTTGGACCTGCGTGATTTTTCCATTATTACACAGCTAACAATCACATAGAAAACCCACACTGCATCCGTCATTAGCGGACCTAAGCCCTATGAGGCTCAGGAAAAGAGCAAGGCCCAGAAGATCCTTGAAATTGACTGCCGTGGCCTTGAGTTTATTGAGTTCAAGCCCGATGTGAGTAAATCCCAAATTCTGTCTGGACTAACCTACGTAATTGCATGTGCTGACGGAAATAAATTAGGGCGAATGGGAAGCCAAGGCTATTGAGTCCACCACCACCTTCTCTGGCATTGATCTTATGGAGGGTGAGTGGTATGACTACGACGAGAAGAAGGGTGAGGAAGTCAGCATCAAGGAAATCACCTGGACTGTTGGCCGTTAAAGGTCCACTCGGTGATGATGATTATCAAGCTATGGTTGAACGTTGGGTCTGAATCTATGAAACCCTGATGAACTCTGATTCTATTTTTCCATTGTATTATTATTGGTGTTGATGAGCTTAACCTTCGAAGCTGTGATGGGAATGGGAGCATGAAGCATGCCGAAAATGGGAGATCTATCACTGATGAGAAAACGAGCCATAAAGCATTTTTTACCCTTTCATCATAGTTCTAAGGAGTTAATGTAGGGTATCTACTCCGTATACAACAAAGAACCATCATGCCAATCCTTTGCTGACCACTATACAGGACCTTGAGGGCGGTGAATAAGTACGAGTGCTGATTGGCCACCGACCACCGCCTTATTCAGCTCACATTTTCGCGATCTCGCCGACTCCAATGTCAAGGTAGTTAACAACACGACCAGCACGATCAGCCAACGGAGTGATAGATCTTGCTTGAGCTTTTGCTGTTATCATATCCTCAAATCCTACTTCACCCTAACCGACCAGAAACTCATCTCGAGTCACAATGAGTGTCCGTCTTCCCCCCCTCAAGCTCAGCCCGCTATCAAGCTCGAAATCCCGCTCATCAGCACCTGAACCCGCGCGCTATTCCCAGAAGACCAATTGCTAACTCGTCCTTTTACAGTTCCAACCGCTTAACCCCCGTCCCTTCCTCCAGGCTCGGTATGCGACCCGTCCCCAACCCACCCGGACCCCATCAAGCAGCCCCAAGCAATCGAGACATCCCCACAGATGCATCCTCGTTATTCACACGGTTTGCTAACCTACGTATCTCTATAGCGTGGGCACCGAAGTCCTCATCCGCCTGAAGTGGGGCCAGACCGAATACAAGGGTACTCTCGAGAGCATCGATTCATACATGAACGTCCTGCTGCGCGACACGCAAGAGTTTATCGACGGAAAAGCCACCGGTGCATTGGGTCTTGTTCTGATCAGGTAGGTTATGCGCTTCAACCGGCTCGGCGTCGGGCTGGCTTGTGATTCTAGTTTTGCTAACTCTCTTCCCCCGCACAGATGCAACAACATCCTCTACATGGGCTCGGCCGATGCAATCGAGGTGACGGATATGGAATACAAATAATACGTCGCATACCCTGGGACAGAGATGCGATGGAGCGCGGTACATGAAGGGGGTGGAGATGACGGCTGTTATGTGTCTGGGAGTGAGGTATGCTTCGGTGTTGCAGCTTTGGAGCAGTGCCTTTGGCGCAGTGGAATTCCTGTTCCATTGAATGGATAGGTTACTTGCTTTGTGGCACCCTCAGATGGCTACACTGCGCCCATCAGGCACCCGAAGACACGAGCTCAGCTCTGCACAGATGGACACGGAAGATGTACCGAGTCTACCAGATTTTTTGGGACTCGGGTGTGTGTGTTCTCACAATTTCAATTATCACGAGGCGTTTGTTTGTTTATGGCTTTTCAAAGTGGGGTTTGTGCATGGCCTCTGACCAAAATCGAATCAATTACTTTCTGCACGAGTTTGAGAGGCATACGTAGTGTACTTTGTGGTTAATCAGGGCTGCGAGTTTGTTGCGCCATCGAGTATCGAGTACGGTGTATTATGACTCAGGTGCGGAGCGACGAGCGACGAGCGACGACAACGTCTCCGCTTGCTCTCCGTTCGGACAGGGGGCATCGGTGAGAAAAAGGGGGACAACAGCCTAAACCCAATAGACATCGACATATTTTGAATGCATCGTGTACACCGGTGCACTGAAGGAGTGACAAGACACACCTGAGTCGATCAGTTTCTCAACAGAAAATCATAGCTCCAGGTACTATCGAATCGTATTTCGGAGACGGAGTATACATAATCTCCACCCTGGAGATAAATGTATCGCACAGTCCGCGCAATGGTCCAATTGACATCAGTCCGGGCGCAGCCTGAGCTATCTCCATTGGGGCGAATTCACCTGCGTATACTAATTTCTCGTGTGAATAGGCCTTGGTCAACCCTGTCCCTCTTTACGTGTATGATCGCACATTCGTCATGCTATCTATATGAATTGGAAGAGATTCAGATATGTGGCAGGTTAAGATGGCTAATTGCCGTGGCGGTTCTTTTTATAGAAGACGACGTACCACATAGCGCACAATGTACCATATGTACTTTCCAATGTACATCGTACATCCAGAAGCCGATCACCCGTCGACCCGTCGACTTGCTTACCTCTGCAGTCCCTGACTATCTGAACCTGTAGCGAGTTCGTGCCATCGACGTCATGGCGCTTGCATCCACACTAGTAAGCTAAGGCGAGTAGCGCACTGCAGGGTTATCGTAGCCACTTTCAGGGTTTATGGGGGGCCTTGTCTGTAAAAAAAAAAACTAAAAAAAGAGGGGATGAGCATATGATCTTTCTATATCATAGACCATATTTGACCATTTCGCATGGGCCATGTGCTCCTCCATATATCTTGACGAACCATCGCGGTTCTTCATCGCCATTGTTGGTCACTCGGACGCCACTGAAGTAGTTCGGTGCCGATCATCACCTCATTGCGCAGTCAGTAAGGTCACACATATTACCAAAAGGGGCTTGTTCGATGTAAGTATGCAGTCCGCACTGTGGAGTTTCGAGCGTGAGACCTTCCAAGGTTCAACCTACCACACTACACCCAGGATAATCGCTTACAACGCTACTCGGGAAAGTGAGATTGGGTTCGAATGGATCCTTATGACGGAAGTGTCTGGGAAGCCTCTCGCCGACTTATGGCAATGTCTGTCCATTGCCGCAAAGTCAGACTTAGTCAAGAAATTCGCAGGATTTTCCATTTCCTTGTGGAGAAATCAGTTAAAGGGGATCGGGAACATTTACCCACTATCAGTGACGGCCGACGAAAAAGCTTCAACTGGTGAGCCCGCAGCGAGTGGCAGTCCGGAACACCTGATGAATGCCGTCCCAAAGACAGGACAAATTGTCTCTCTCGAATTTCTCTGGGGATCTCACACCCGTCAGAATGTGAACCGAGGCCCATTTCTTTCTAGTCAAGAATGGATGGAGGCTCGGCTTGCTTTTGCCAAGAATGACTGCCAGTAAATATTGGCGAAGTATCCCGCAGGTGACGACCTTGATAGCGACGCCGAGGATGAGTTGGGAGCTACTACACGGACGCTAGGGCTCATTGAAAAACTGGAAACAATTTTCCCACGTATATTCCCTCGCGATAAATATGTCCCAGAGCTAAGCGTGGTCTTCCATGATGACCTCTCACAAAATAATATCTTAGTGAGCAAGAAAGGCGAGTTGACGGGTGTACTAGATTGGGAGTGCGTTTCAGCACTACCATTATGGAAGGCCTGTTTTTATCCTACATTTTTGCATGGGCGTCCTCGAGATACGAAGCCCAATATTGAAAAGTACGATAGGGGGAATCCTCCTTCTGGTGGTGCATACTGGGAACATTTGCATGACTATGAGGTAACACTTCTACGAGGCGTGTTCTTGGACGAGATGAGGAAATCGGAACCGACATGGGTGAATGTCTTTGATACGAGTCGTCTTCGTCGAGATTTTGATACTGCTGTGCAACATTTTGACAGTGGGATTGTCCGTCACATAATTGAGAAGTGGGTTGAAGATGTCACTGCCGGTAATGAAAACCCGCAAAACTTACGTGATAGCCTTGGGTGTTAACTACCTAGGTAGGTAAGTCACCTGATAAAGCTATGTTTAAATACATTGGAGAAAATCACTGTCAGTCAAAAGATCTATTTTAGCGATCTAGAGAATTCATGCGATCTTCAAAGGAATGTACTACTTATGCTATTCCCAGGGGCTGTTTTTGCATCTAGAATTATATATTATTATAAGCCTGATTAATATACCCCTGAAATTTACTCGGTGACTCTGAGCGTCCTCATTAAAGCGGTATCTAGAATAGGAAATGGCAGAGAAAAATCAAGTATAGTGACATATATTGCCAAGTACGTGTACTTCCTAGGTTCTATAAAATACGTATGTATCTATAAAAAAACACGATACAAATCTTATAGTTAACTGCTCCACTGATCTGCATTTTCCTTGTTCTACATCGTCATTACCATTCTTTTATAAAACCTTCTTCCTCTTCATTTTTCTTTCTTCTCTATTCTCTCGCTCCAAACTTGAAACACCCCAATCTCCGCAAGTCTGCAGTCAGCCTAGACCTGGAACATTCTTTGTCTCATCACGCGCTTGAACCTAAAACTATACACCCTCGTGACCCTCCGAATTTACTTCTGAATTTGAAAATCATATACTCTGCACCCTCCACCAGGTCAACAAAAAAACACTCGTTTACACAATGCGCGACACACCCTCCAGGTTCATCGAGATTCTCGATCCCAAGGACTCATCTCGACGCATGTCCGACTCGGACGTCCGCCTTGAAGACGTCCTCGCCGACCACGAGGCAACCATCAACAGCCGAGCTCGCTCTTCTACACAATCATCCGCAAAACCAGACAAATCCCCGTCTCGTACGAACTCGACATCCCCGACGCCACGTTGGAAACGTCTGAGCAATATGCTTGCGCAACCCCGCAGGAACTCTTAATATACGTCCCCTCCTTGCAACGATGTGTGTCTGGCTCACATTCTATTCCCCTCTACTATGTGTCTTAGTATTGAGATTTGGGTGGACAATGCCAAACACATTTGTTTGTGAAAAAAGCTTTTTTTAAAAAAAAAAAAAAAAACGGAATGGCAAATGAATCTCTTTACGGATACATTCGATACATCCACGACTTGGCTAGCGGGTTCAAGTCTGTGCTTGGTGCTCAGGGTACGGTGGCATGGACTAAGAACTATGGATTGCAAACGAGATTACGAACTGAAATGATACGAAGTGATGTGACGGCGTTACCTTTGCTATTCGGGTGTCGAGTGTTTGGCCTCGGACCGTGGTCTCTATTGGCACTGGTCCGGTTGACAAGACAGCATTTTGCCCCGCTTTGATTGAGTATGCACTTTGTTTAATTGGGGATTTAGATCTGGATCTGGATCTGGATCTAGGATTATATGATTATGATCTGTCCTTTGACACATGTATAGAAACTAAATTTCTCAAATGAACGCGAACGGTCTGAGACCTGCGTTTGGCTACTATTCACTTGTTAAAATATAACTTTCCTTCTTTAGTACTGCTTGTATTTGCCGCTTGTAGCCACCTCACCTTTAATATCTGTGAGCCATATATTCTGAAAGTGAAGCGATAATAACCGAAATTCTATTTGACCCGATTGTTTGTTCTTGAACTTTGTACCTGGCGAATATTAAATCCGGCGGGGTCTTAGCCCTAGCCCCTGGTATTCACTTCTAAGGCTATTGGATCATCGAGCTTGTAGTATGTACAAAATGGGTACCAAGTGGGTGGACCCTGGACCCTAGGATGAGGGGCACTTCGGAGTGGAACATTCATGCGAGTACTCAGGCCTAATAAAATGAGCTTTGCTGGTTTCAGAAAGTCAGGAACGGTATGTCGGTGAAGCTGGGATAGCTCTTTTTTCTATTACCTAGCACAACAGCCCTCAGTGTTAGGGGATACGGCAACTTGGCGCTGTGTCGGCCTCTGTCCCTGCGGACCATTCGGACCTTCGAGCCTAGACTAAATCGTGTGTATGTAGGGCAAGCTATACGAGAGACCTGCGGATGTAGATTGAAATCAGAATAATCTCAAGTTGGAAAGAGAACTGTAGCAAAATGACAACGTCGGACAGACTTCGGGACTGAGATCTAGCCCATTTAATTCGTATGGACTCTGCCTCAATCTATTAACATTATAATGTACATCAGTTTGATACAGGTTGAGTCGGTCTGATTGAATATCCCCGGAGATTTCCTGCCATACTATTCGTCTCAATCATCCAATCAGCTCCATCCCATATTCGCCTTTTCTCTCTTCCATCAATCTGCTAATCTCCGCGGGATGCACCACGTTAAACGCGATCATTACCAGCAGCATAAGAGCGGCATCGAAAATGTAACTCCAGAATTCTTGCTGGAGCAATGCCCCGCTACTTCCCTGGTTGTACTCGATGTACCGGAAGATGGAACGGACGAAAATGAGCAGACTACCGATGTATAACACGGTCTGGTGTTTCTTCCAGGGGACATGGTGCTGCTGTAGCACCCTTGACCCGTTTTTCACAAGCTTGACGTGGAAAATTATGCTGGTGATGATGAAGAGTCCAAAAAAGATAATTTGGATGATCAAGCCGACTTTAATCACACTTCCGCCTTTTGCTGCTGTGCTGGCTTTGACGAGCATTCCGGCTCCTGCATTGTCGCAATATACGGTTAGCCAATCAAGTATTTTAGGATATTTTTGACGCATTGAAGGACGAAATATATGTCTTACCTCCTGCCTGGACAAAAAAGGATATCACATCTCCCACCACAAAGATTTTCGTCAACCACGAGCGTCGGATTGGTGACAAGTGCTCTCCGCCGGTGACAATCATGATGCGGCCAAGTTCCATATAAATACTTGCAGCAAGCAGTGACGGCGCGACGAGGACGAAAATGGCTTGTATGGCAAGAGGAGGAATGGTATATTTCGGGTATTCGTTGGAAGAGATCACACGCTAGAATTGTGAGCATATTCCTTATCTCACTTGATCGAGTATCGAGGCTGACTTACAGCTGCATATCCAACAACCTCAACTACAGAAAACTTGTGTTAAAAAGGCCCGGAAAATAGCCCGAAGAAAGGCCCCAACAGCAAGTTGGTACATCGAGTTGGTACTCACATATTCCTCCTAATATAAAAGCAATGAAGAACCATGTCCGACCACGGAACATTTGCCAACAATGCAGGAGGGTTGATATTCCGAATAGGACAATGAATGTCACGGCTGCTGGTACTGAGGGTATGTAGTCATATTCACCCATATATTTGACTTCCACCATTGTGCTTTTGGGCCCTTGATGGGACGTTTCGGTGGTCTAAATCGAGAAACCAACTAAAAACCAAAGTTGAGCAGGTCACAAAGCATTGAAGAGTTATATATCTCTATATTTCAGGGGATTTTCAACCATTCCTAAACGTTGACGCCTGTTATATTTTTGGATGTAAGCTCAAGACATCCTAAAATGGTATAGAGTTCGTACAACTTTCCCGGTTGGAATTGCCCTTCTGTCGCCGAAGCGCGCGTTCAGTGTACTCGATTCAACTTACCGCTACATCCGAATTGACTCTCACAACACTCCGTATGAATACGATGAGATCCCCATCTTGTCCAACTCCTATTTTGGAAAATTTTCAATTTGACAGAACGGAAGCTCCCATATCCGAGGCCCCACAATTGGCTTGCGCCTTCTAAGGCTTTGTGGATTTTGTGGATCCATCAATCCTCTTTGCACTGCCACGATACACCAAAATCTCGGATGTGTTCAGTGTAAGCACAGGCAAGATTGGTCTAGGTCGTGTAGCCGCTGGTGTTTTGTCACATTATGCTGACACTATGTGACAGTGCGGTGCACACCGGGCTCCGTGCAGCTTATATATAAGGCGAGAAACTGGGATGTAACTACACGCCTCCTTTGACCCCGAAGTCTCCTTCTGAACCACAGGAGACGGCAACAATGGTTCTTGCTCTTTAATGCCAAGGCCCACTAGGCTGCAAGTGATGAAATTATATCATCCACGGCTATGTCGCGTGAGTTGATCAGAGATACGATAGATGAAATATTTTCACAATTGGCAATCCCTACAATTATGTGATCGATGGGATACTAGCCATTGATTTCTCTCATCTCGCCTCACTAGATTATGAGTCATGAATCCTTGCTGTATGCTGTATACGGTGCTGCAGTATCAATCTAGCAGTGGCAGGACCGCCAGATTATTTCAAGCAACACGCTAAATTGTGAGCTAGCATTGATATGATCTATCTTTATCATCATCTTCGTGTCTGGATACCCTGTTACTTCTTAGAATAAGAATTCACTAGGCCCGCTCGAATGATCAAAAAATGCTCGAGGCATTGGCAAGCGAAGGGCTAGGACACATCCAGGGGAACATGGAATCAAATTTCAGTTTACTTCACCCAGGATTCAGAGTCGGGGAATACTTTTGCTACAGCGTCATATAGAATATGGAATATGGAAGTAGATGCCATTTCTAGTTTGGGCTATTGGAGGCCTATCAACCATCTGCTTGTCGTAGGTGTACTTTACCTTCTTTATTCTTAAAGCTACAACTCCAATTAGCTAGCAAAACATAAATTAAAATCTGCAATTCCTATTAACAATTTTTTCTTAGTAAATTTTGGCATATAGATGTGCACGCATAAGATCTCTTATCAAAGCCCCACATCAACCTCATCTCAAATTGTCAACACAACTACAACTGTGACTGTGGAGATTTCCCTGCAATAACCCGCGTCTAGTCCCAAACATCTCAACGCCAAGTAACAATCTTCCACGACGCTCCCCGAAACACCAACCCGTCACGTATTTGAGACGTGCCAAGTCGTGTCATTCCGCACTTGTCACCTCATCTAGCCCGACCAGAACCCCAGAAGCCAAAATGGCCTGGATCCAGCAAACACCAGGCTCTGGCAGTCGCGCTGCCTCCCCAACAGTCTTTGAGCAGCAGCGCGAGGAACTCGTCCGAGAGATTGCAGTGGTATGTATCATGTCCACGAAACTCCCGTCGCACTCGGGGATCCTTATCGGCCGCCGCAACCGATGTTAATTGATTCGAGCAGGGTATGGAGCAAGTACTTCAAAACATCAACCGTCTGAATCGGAATTTGGAGAGTGTGATTGCGGTAAGGTTCAGCATCGAGACGGAGAAAACACATCTGCTAATGGTATTATCAGGTGGGGAATGAGTTTGGATCTGTGGAAGCTCTCTGGTCCCAGTTTGAGAATTTCATGGGCCGGTCTGAAGAACAAGGCGAGGAAGCTGGCAATGAAAATGGGAAGCGGAAGGTTAGTGGGGAGAGTGATGCGAGTAAGTCGGGAATAAAGCGTGAAGACGAGGGTGACTCGACGGTCATGCAGTGATGGTTGAAATTTTGGTCTGCATGACGGGTGTCGGCGTCGGGCTGCTTTCCTTTTTCTTTTCTTAGATACCATTCAAAATTCGGGTTACGTTTACCTGGGAAAAAGATATACGAATCTTACGGGGAAGACATTCATAAACACAAAAGGTCAAATGTATTGTTTCAGTAAGACATAGCACATCGCTTTCGCCAACAGAGCATATCAGATAACATAAACACCAGTCCCATGCATGCCAATGGAAAACGGCAAAGACCCGAGTCATGAGAGACATCAAATGGAACAAGGGGGACAAGGGTCGTGAAAAGGGCCAAAAAGAACACAAGGGAACAAACGTGAAATAAAAGAAACAGCCTCCAGCAAAAAAAAGAAGAATCGAGATCATTGTAAGGGCCGCGCAGCGTATCGATACAACAGAGAAAGATTTGGGAAAGTCATGTCTAGCTTTGTCCAGCTTGCGGCGACATGTCACATACACAGGCGAGCGGGCAAGCAAGCCGACGAAGCAACCAGGCTCGTGGTCCGGCCAAGAGAGAAAGGAAGGTCAAAGTGTGTCGAGAATGGGAAAAGAAAACACAGATCGAGTAGAATCAATCTACAGAATCTTGCAAGTGCGCTTCTTAATCTTCTTGCCGGGGCGGGGACCTCCACCTCCGGAAGATGCGGCGCCGGTGCGACTGTTGCGGTTATTACGGGCGTTTCGACCGGCCGGTTGCTGGGCTGTCCAGCCTTGTTCTTCGATTGAGATGGCCGAGTCGACGGCCTTGGCGAAAACTTCGTCCACACCACGCATCTCCTTGCTACTGCATTCGGCGTATGTTGCTCCCATCCGTTGGGCGACATTTTCGCCTTGCTCTGGTGTGATGGGTGTCAGGCCTTGTGTCTTGAGGAGTTCAATGCAGGTTCGCTTATTGCGCAAGTCGGACTTCAAGCCAACGAGAATAATGGGTGTGGTGGGACAGAAGTGCAGAACCTCGGGATACCACTAGAAAGAGGGAGACGTTAGACAATTTAGCAAAGAGTTTCCAAATGTAGAACTCACCTTGTCAACAACATTCTCCAATGATGCGGGGCAATCGATAGCAAAGCAGACAAACAGAAGATCAGTCTCGGGATAGGACAGTGGACGCAAACGGTCGTATTCCTCCTGTCCAGCAGTATCCCAGAGTGCTAATTCAACGGTCTTGCCAGAAGCCCGATGCGTTGTTTGGGTAATATAATTCTCGAACACTGTGGGGACATATTTCTAGATGATAATCAGCAGGGATCCATCTTTCCTCGCAGGTTTGAACGTACCTCTGGGAAGTAACCTTGGGAATAACTAATCAACAGACAGGTCTTGCCACATCCGCCATCGCCCACCACTACAAACTTTTTTGAGAATGAGGGCGGCTGAGTGATATTGGTTGCCTCGGACATCCGTCCACTGGAGACGCTGGTATTGGTGCTGGCTGTGCCGTGGCTAACTCGGACACTGTCGCTGCGCGCTCGACTGTGACGCGGTGTCAAAGATGGAGGAGGGGTGGCGAGAGAGCGGCGGCGCGAAGCTGCATAGTATTGATCTTCGTACATAGCACTCATGGTGAGTAGGGGTTGGAATGTCCCTCGTTTGTAATGTGATACAGGGGAAAAACGGGTTGATGAGTCTGATAGGATATGTGGAAAGATTTGAGAAGAAAAAAAGAGGAGAAGATAGATCTAAAAAAGATCTAGAGGATCGATAGAGCAAGAGGATCTGGCGAGACCCGTGAGACCCGTGAGACCCGTGTTTACACCGGGGCTACCATAGCAACGGCCGTGCCTCCATGACGCCAGGGCTCCGCTCCCCACGATCAAAGACCTTGATATCGTGGATTTTGTCATTTACTGGTTTATCTCGATCCTGTTTTGGTCTTGACTCCGCTAATATATTCTTGTACCCCACCGTTCAGCTCAGCTTTTTTTTTTTTTTGTCTACAGTTTACCCGATGGGGTCATGTGATTGTAGATCTTGAGATATGAGGTCTCTTATTTTTACCAGATATCAGTATAAGCTATAATATAACCTATATCTTCTATAAGGCTTAGAAGGATTGTAAATCCGAGTGTCTAATTGAAAAGTAGTCAAGCTAAAATAATAATAAAATAAAATAAAATGGGCTTGGACGCTAATTCTGCATGTCATCCTTCTCTTTTTTGAGGCCGGAGAAGACCGACATCCTATAGCAAAATATACGAGTTGACAATAATATTCCCTTTATATATCATTGGTGAGTTTTGTTTTTTTTTTTTTTAGCTTTATCTTTTTCTTCCGTCAATTACAATCCTATACGGAGTATATCGGAAAGGAGACAGAAAAGGGAATCATTTTAGAAGCTAAGAGCCGCATAATAAATATAGTATCCCCAGGCGCAATGAACAAAAGAATGAACTACTTGAAGATAACAATATCACAATATCATCAATTGAAATTTGCCGGAGATATAGTACTAGATCAGCATCGGCTTCACATGTATTTACCTTGAGGACTATCTAGTCGACGATATACATTGTAAAACTATAGATAAACTATAGATCCAACATATGCCTTGCAGAATATAGATCTACACAAACAGTCTATCTCAAAATTAATTACTCTCCGTAGTAAAAATCGAGTACCCACGATGTATACCGAAGCGTGGATTGCCGTGACTAAGCACACACATGGCGGGCCCCAGGCATCAGGGGTTTGAGCCGCGGATCTCCCCCGTCAACTTTGGAGGATACTCCCAAGAGGTTCTCGGTTATATCATTTGCTTCAATCCAACTTCAATTCACTCCTTATGTTCTGAACCCTATAACCCTCAATTCAAACGGACCGGCAGGCAGCGACCTGTCTATCTATGGAATCCATCCGATTACGTCTAGATCGATAACACTGC